ATGGGGGGGGGTTCGGAGTCGTGAATATGGGCGTCGGTAGTAGTAAATCTGTCCATCCTCGACTGCACCAAAAGGACATCATCTCCCCACTGCTCTCTCTCTTTGGATCCTAGTCTCTACTACGTACGTAGTCTGCCTTTATGTTCAAGAACAGTACATGTATTTGAACCAATATGATTAACAGTCTGCGAATTAAGCTCGAAACGACGCAAGCATTAGCCCTTAAGAATCAAAAGCCACAAGAACAAACTTATATAAAGTAGTTTTTTTTTTTAAAAAAAAAAAAAGACAAGACACACATACACACACAGAGGGAGAGATGGTCCAAAAATAAACGAACCATATGTGTGTGTGTGTGCGTGTTACTTTTTCTGCTACAAGCAGATCGAAAGCCTCGTCCTCCTAAGTATAATACTAACATGTTTCTTCTGTTGGTTATGCAAAAACATTTCTCTTCGAGTAACTATATAACACAAAGAGGAGGTAAAGAGTCAAAATGATATCAAACTTCTTCTCAGATGGCACCAAGGAAAGCATGCAGACTTGCACCAAATAATACCCTACTGTAGTATGTTATAGCAGAATCAATAGGAGATTGGGAGGGCAGCCAATTAAGTTAACCCCCCTTTTCGGCGCTTCGGTGGAGCTTTTCTTTACCAGACTAAATCAGTGTACTACTAATAAGCAGCAGCAACAGCAGCAAGAGGGAGGTGGAAAGATAAAGAGAGATCTAACCTCCATTGAGCCAAACAACCAAGGGTTTTGAGGAGGGTTCATCAGCAGCCTCAGTAAGCCAATAAAACAGGGCTCTCGCGGCAACTTCATTGACGGTGACATAGCCTGAAAACTGCTGGAAAGAGACCTTGGGCTGTCCAGGAAGAGCAGTTATTCTGTCAGCTTCTTCTTCTTCTTCTTCTTCTTCTTCTTCTTCTTCTTCTTCCGCTTGTTTATGATCACTAGCGCTGCTGGCCACCACTAGAAGAAGCATTAATAATATCATTAGCACCAAAGAAACACGCATCTTTTCCGGGGCCATGAATGATGACTACTAGCACAAAGAGCAAGTGAATTTCCCAAAAGTTTTTAGGAGGCAGCAGGGGTAGAACTGATGGGGCAAGTAAGTAAGAATTTGGTACGACCAGGCCAGCAGCTGGCTGCTCGTGAATTGTGAAACGAGCAGCACTTAATTTGTTGCCGGTGCCCGGCTGGAAGCTGAATTGAATTGTAGGAGTATTAAAGACTAGAGAGAGAGAGAGAGAGGACCAGTACTATGGGTTTTGAGTCTCTCTGCCTTACAATCAGCTGGGAGTAAATAAGAGAGAGGCTCCGACTCAGACAGAGAGGGAGAGAGAGAGATTTGTGGTGTGATTAATCTTCTTCAGTTCAGTGTCATGCTCATGCATGAACAGAGGAGGAACACGCACGCGCACTCCCCTGCCTGTAAATTGTAAATGCCATGCGGCCCAAGGACAGATCTATCCCTTTCAAGCTTCAGGATAATCAGTGCTGGTGCTTGATATACATACGGGAACGGAGCCCATAATCTTCGATTTTTTTTTTTTGGTGATTTGCACTAATTATTTTGGGATTTTGAGATTCGGGCTTCTGCTCTATTAATAGACCCAATCGTGCCACGCAATGTAGTTATCAACATTCAATTTCGGCAACGTCTCACATTCCACCAATAATTACACTCTGAAATCACATCTATGATTGCAAACCACCTGGATGGATTTACAGTGTATCCGTCTGGATTTTTTAAGTAAGATCACATTTAATTGTGATAATTTAATAGGAGGTAATCAAGCCTTAATGCATTGATGGTGGCCCGGTTATACAATCATAATCAACTGCAGGTAAATGCCCATAATAATCACCTTAATGGCTGAATTGCCGTTTCCAGAAATTAAGGACAGCTTCTACTCCTCCGCACGAAAATAGTTTCTCTCCAACATAACATAATGAACAAAACCCGCCTTTCAATATAAATATATACTTATATTCTTTTGGTCTTAGACCCACACAATAAACACAAAAGTCTTTTGTTCTATACATATGTCGTAGGCTTGTGAGTTACTGGTAAGTTAACTCTAATTTCTTTGATATGCAGCCAAAAAAAAAAAAAAAAGACTGCCACGGTTTCCAGCGCATGCAGCAGGCTAAGCAACGAATGTTACATCATTTATAAAATCCACCTTTCCGCCATGCATTTCTTTTAAGGAAAAAAAGGGTGGGGGGAAGAAGAAAAGAAAGAAAGAAAAAAAGCAAATCTAAAATCCACCTATAAATAGCAGAAACGGGACAATCGATTTGATGACATCTTCGTTTGCAGTTTTTGCACCAACCAGCATTTGCCAGACGCTCAAAGTGATGATGTGAGCCTAATTCCACTACAGGGTTCGTAGCAGGTGGTAGAGGTGCAGACAGATGTGTTGTAGTATTACGGCATTTTGCACTGTGTATAGCAACTTTCTTTTCTTCACTGTGCACTATTACATTTACATACAATCATCAAAAACTGATACTCATCCCTGACGCTACTTGACCTTTTTCTTTGGAAATTAAAAGCCACTTTGAAGGGTTAGAAATCGATTACCACTACTGAGTGATAAATTCTTCCATCTTCATCAAAAGGGAGAATATACTAAGCACAGCTCAACGTGAAAAGTTTGAATCCAGACTACTTGACAACTCATTAAAAGTCGATACTGTTTATACTACTAGCTAGCTAGTTCTTGATTCATTCACAAGTCATGATGCAAGAAAAGAAGCTAAGCCAATCTTTGCGTAGAACAGCACAAGCGCCCGATAGAATCACGAAGAAACCTGCCACCGATAGAGAATAGGAACACCCGTGATTCAGAGACCTACTCTGCTCTACTTTATTTGAAACAAAATAATACTACTACTACTACTAGTATATAACTTGGAGGGCAGAGGGCATGAGCTAGGTTCGCTGTTTCATTCCGTCTCTCTCTCTCGCCCTCCTAGTCTCTCCTTTGATATTATTAATAATCTTGCATCTTACGTTTACTCAACTCAAAAAGATCTCCTTTCTCTGACGCACATAACTCTTTAACTGTATATATATATATATTGTGGCAATGCACAAGACAAGGGTCAGAAACAGAAACCCCAATTGGGATAATAAGATGATATGAGAATGGCGTCACAAATTCCTACTGCTATGCTGAAGTAGTTGTATACTATATATATATAGTGTGGACAAAAGCTGCCCCTCTATCCTCTCTGGATGCTCCTGGACCAAACTGGACTCTTTTTTTTTTTTTTCTTTCTTTCTTTAATAAAAAGTTTGGGTAGGTTCGATTTCAACGTTATTATTATTATTATTATTATTATGATCGGAACATACTTTCGATATCATAAGCCGCTTTGTAGAGATTGTTATAGATCGTTCGCTAATACAGTGCTCAACTAAGCTGAGGACATATTATTGTTGATGTACTTAAGATTTGTGCAAAACAAAACCTTAGTAATACATTTAATTATATTAGCGTACAATAATGTAATGTGACCCTCAAATATGCCGCACCCGGAACTTGTGGGTTTGCTACACCTGCCCTTGTTGACCCAATTATGAAATACTACTACGAAACAAGCGCCGTTTACCGGTAGTCCCTTCAATCCTCGCCAGTTTGACTCGCTTCAGGGAGGTCTTGAGGGTTAGAACAGATTTGTTTTATAGCTCAGAAATAAGTAGTTACGATAATTTCATTTTGCCTTAATCCGACACAAGACCACGAGGTCCTTGATCAACATAACTAATAGGACTACTAAGTCATCAGTATCTTTCTTTTTTTTGTCAAATCTACAGCACGTCAGTATCGTTTCAGTAGTCTTTTTTTTTTTTTTTTTTGAGTATCATTTCGGTGATTTTTTGTTTTTTCAAGACGATAACTGTTGTATAACCTATTATATCCAATCATATATTAGAAGGAGGAAGAGAATTTGAAGAGATCCAATAATAATTTGAAAGGGACTAAATCACCACCATCAGAGCCACTTAATGTGACATTTGACGGGAGACAAGATTTGAATCTTGACCTCGCATCACATCAAGTTTTAATGCTTTGGTGGTGATCATTTCGGTGGTCATTCACGGTCGAAATGAGGTTTTCCTGTCAAAATCACACGATGGCCGGTTCAGGACTAGGATGTCATGTTTTGGGTACCCCATACCATAGACGTTTCGCCCTAATACTTATAATATACATGGAAGTCCGGTCAAAGCAAGTCGCGGGTTCACTTCCCCAGGTTGATTGCTACTCTCAAATTCACGCCAATGCCTACTCAAACTAAATCGAGGTTGGCGTTCCTTCTCGCTTCAATCTCCCCTTTATGTTCCTAAGATGTGTCAAGGTCCAAGGAACCTATCGTAATACAGTCAGAACGTTTTTATCCCATTATCTTCTTTTGACTAATCATTCTGCTGCAACGTAGCTAACTTAGAGACGAATTCAATAAATTTTTTTTTTATTTTCATAGTCATTTTATCTCCTCGGGAGAGACAGAAAGATTGAACTTGTATGTTAAAATAGGGAAAAGGTAAATTTCATCAATCTAAGCTAATTTCAGCTGTAGTCTCTACCATCAATTTTTCCTTTATTTAATAACTTTGAATTTAGCAGATTTAATATTTTTTTTTTCACTCTAATTGGAAACGTGATGAGGTAATTGATAGAAAGTAGATGGAACCCACAGTCCTAGCATTCTTTCTCTTTTCTTTTTTTCCAAAAAAAAAGGGGTGAATTATTTGCTTTGGTATTTGGTTTACTAACTTGGGTACCCTCTTAAATCTTAATTATCATTCACCGTTTGCCCTACACAGCTAGCAAGGCAATGGGATGGGCCAATCTTTCGCAATGGGTTGGGCCAATCTTTTGCGAGGAGGTGAGGTAAATCTCCAACGAGACGGCCCACTTTCGCATTATTTAAGTCGTACTGTTATTAATTAATTAACAGTCGTACAGAAAACAGATTGTTGAAAGAAAAAACTAGTGTTAAGAAAGGCGGATGGAAAGAGGCTTAGATTACCAAATTTTCTGTCGTCTCGTCTGCCAAATTTCGACCGTTGAAACTTGAAAATCCTTACTCCATCCCCACAAAACAAAACGGTCATCCCTGTTTCTCATCTCAACTCATATATATCTGACTCGAAACCTTTCCAAATTATTCTCTCGATACCCTACTACTGCTCCTGCTCTTTCATCTGTTTCTCTCCCTATATCCACGCTGCTGGTAAAGTGATTGATATTCTCTTGTTGGAGTTGGACCAACAACAGATACCAAATTCCCATTACACTAATTCCATACCCCAATGGAGAATATGCTGGGAACCGCCCTTAATCAGATGGAGTCTAACACTTTGGACGCCACGAGTCCTCCTCCTCACAATCTGCAGAAACCTATTAAAAGCCCAGTTTCGCAAAATACTGCGGCTGCTCCCTGCAAATCTGTGACTCCTAGTCGTCTTAAGGTTCCCAAGGCTTTCAAATATCCTGAGAGGTTTGTAATTCTGTCTTCTTTGCCTTTCATATTCCGCGTTTTTTTTTTTTGGTTTCAGCTATTTGTAAGCGATTCTTCATTTCTTGTAGGTATACTAGTCCAACCGATCTTATGATGTCTCCGGTGTCGAGAGGACTTCTTGCCAGAAGTAGAAAGCCCGGCGCCCTCTTACCTCCCTCCAAGAATCAACCCCATGTACGCTTTTTTTAGCCCCAACACCCAGCAATCTTCTTCTTCTTTTTGCTTTGGATCTTTCTTTGTTTCCTTTCCTTTCAGTTTTATTGATTGTTTTGTACATTAGCAGCTTCAAGGTTTACAGCGTCAGGAAGTCAGACTTTTCGGGATATGAAACTTTGGGTCAGTGGAGCAGCAGTTGAAGAGTTCTTTCACCTTTCGGTCTGATAATCAGCAAAACAGAGACCACCTAATGGGGTTCTCCATTTCTTTGCCTCCCTTTTGTTTCAAAATTTTTTGATCTATTAGAAAAGTGGTCTGTATGTTGTGTACTTTTGTCGAATTTAATGCAAAGGGTTCACCTTCTCCGTACCATTCATATTCATATTTGTGGATGAGATAAAGGGCTTCGAACGATTTAAATATGTCGATTTTGAAGCTTAGTTAAAAATATGTAACTGCAAAGTTCGATAATGACCCAAGAAAACCTTGATAATGTCGGATATCCTAGCAAGGAAAGCTATATGAAATTAGGATTTCAGGAAGGCTGCTGCTTACTCCAACCGGACCTCGTACCATTGAATTGAACCCACATCTCCATCAATTTCGAGTTCACAAACAGATTTTACCAGGAACTGGACAGCATCATCAGTAGTTTCAAATCTTGCAAGGTCAGGTGGTAGGGACTTGCCTGGCCAATTCTCCAGCCACCCCTTCAGCCTGCTCCTCAATTCTTCCTCTGAAACAAACTCCTCATCCTCTCCTGGTTCCATTAACACGTAAGTTTCAGTTGGAATGTTCGCTCTCCTCCTCCTCATAGCACAAGTCAGATGCTTCAAATTTTTTAATGGAAAAAATTAACGAATTTAGGAAGAGAATTCCGGGCCAATCTATATGTGAACTAAAGAACATACGTCATATACTCTGAAATTTAAAGAAAAAAAAAATCATGGCCAATGATCAGAATGGAAACAAAATGAGACCTTAGGCGCATTCCTCAGTTGCTTGTTCCTTGAGGGAACTCCATGGAAAATTAAAGTGCTATACATCGCCTGAAGAGAAACATGTCCTAAGCTTGCCGGAGGATATAATATTAGTTGATTATGTTGTTGCAACGCCCTTTTCCCTATGAAGTCACGGATAGGTAAAGCTCTCAGAACCATTTATTTATTTAAAAAAAAAAAAAAAACATTGACAGATTCATTCGTTACTGGAAGAATACTTGCTGCTCCTAGTCTGCAACTTTCTTCTGCGTTTTCTACAATCAGTTCTATCAATTAGACAGCTCCAAGCAGCAGCAGAGAACATTTTCAGTAAGAATACAGATTAAAGATTAGAACCCCCTTTTTGTTTCTTAAATGTTTATACGTGTACTCTTTTAAGATTAAATTAAAATCCTCACATCATCATACAAGCAAGAAATAGAAGTGGGAAAAGCAGTAGTGTGTTTTATGGATAAGGGACAGAGCTATTATCATCAGTTGGTGCTGATAAAAAGTGGATAGAGCTTGCTTACCAATTACACGCTGAGTCGTATTGCTGAATAGGTGTCTTTGAAGAGCGAACTCCATCCTAAACTCCTGCTACCACCGCCGCCGCGACTTTAGGGTCTTGAAAAATCTGACATGCAGACAATCTCGGAAGAAAGATAGACTACCGGGATGCTTTCAGCCTCTGAATATCTCGTGTCATAATGCCCTTGCAGTTCTTCATTTTTTTCAAGAATAGCCTCCTCTTTCTTTTTTTTTCAGTTAAATAAACTAGCAGACTGCAGGCTGTGCTAAGCATGTCGTATGCCCACTTAGAATTTCAAAAATATCCAAGTGAAAACCATTCTTTGCCATAAAATCAATAGTAGAAGGAGCCAAAGTAGAATATATACCCACTTGTGCATATTACTAAATATAAGTGTAAATCATAATTCTATCACTAAATACTAATTAACAATTACTAATTAGTTAACTTAATTATAGCTATATTTGGAAGTAAAATTTTAATGGAAGTTGATACATTGGAGTTTAGCTTAACAATTAAATTTAAAGTTCTTATATATTTCAATGTTGCTTGAAAATTGAGATTAAGAGTTAGGACATAGGGTTATGAACCCTTTTTTTTTGCATATCATGTTTGTTTGAGTTGATTGAATTTTATTGGAAAAACATATATGATATTATTTTGTTACAATAATTTTTTTAGAGAATATTAAAATATTTTAATTTACTATAAATATTTCGGATTTCAAATATTACCAAATTACGGGTTCTCCGATCCAATATATCAAACTAAGGTTTGGACTGTAATCGGATATTGGTCTTAAAAAATCAATGTTCAAATTATCATTTTTTTTTATCGAATTCCTAATTAGCGACCAGTGAACACCCATAAACATGAGAACCAGACTTGTTTGATTTGGCATGAACAAAAGGCAAAAGAAAAAAAACAATGTATAATGGCAAGAATAGCAATGTACAAGAAGAAAATAGAGAAAAATGCAATTTTGGTACCTAAACTTTGACGCATGAGCGGTTTTAGTCCCCAAATTTTGGACAAAAACAAATTTGGTACCCGAACTTTCAAATTTTGAGCACATTAAGTACCCTTGACAATTTTTTCCCAAATTGTTACCGGAAAAAGCCACGTGTCCGGTCAAAAATGCAGTTTTGGTACCTAAACTTTGACGCACGAGTGGTTTTAGTCCCCAAATTTTGGACGAAAACAAATTTGGTACCCGAACTTTCAAATTTTGAGCACATTAAGTACCCTTGACTATTTTTTCCCAAATTATTATCGAAAAAAGCCATATGACAGTCACGTGTCCGGCCACAATTGTATAAAAAAAGGCCCAAAAAATATCAAATGCCATTCTAATACTAAGTATTAAATTTAAGGACTAATAGCGTAATAAAGAAAAAATCCAAGGACTAAATAACATCACATGAGTCAACAAAACCCAAGAACCGATACAAATGAGCTCCAATTCTAGACAAATTTTGTGACTTGATTCTTAGATTAATGAACTGGAATTGGAGCTCATTTGTATCGGTTCTTGGGTTTTGTTGACTCATGTGATGTTATTTAGTCCTTGGATTTTTTCTTTATTACGCTATTAGTCCTTAAATTTAATACCTAGTATTATAATGGCATTTGGCATTTTTTTATACAATTGTGGCCAGACACGTGACTGTCATATGGCTTTTTTTGGTAACAATTTGGGAAAAAATAGTCAAGGGTACTTAATGTGCTCAAAATTTGAAAGTTCGGGTACCAAATTTGTTTTTGTCCAAAATTTGGGGACTAAAACCGCTAGTGCGTCAAAGTTTAGGTACCAAAACTGCATTTTTTGCCTTTTTTAATTCCATTTTGGCCGGACACGTGACAGTCACATGGCTTTTTCTGGTAACAATTTGGGAAAAAATCGTCACGGGTACTTAATGTGCTCAAAATTGAAAGTTCGGGTACCAAATTTGTTTTCGTCCAAAATTTGGGGACTAAAACCGCTCGTGCGTCAAAGTTTAGGTACCAAAACTGCATTTTTCTCAAGAAAATATTAGCAAGCTACTTGTCACGTTATTAGAAAGTCACGTGCAAGAAATATTAGCAAGATACATGTCAATTTATTAGGAAGTCACGTGGTACGTATGGAGAAAAAGCACTAAAGCTCACTTTCTTCTTACATGCATGGTAGATTTTATTCATTGACCGACTAAAGAGATCGAATGGGAAAAAAAATTAAACAATTAAAAGTACGTTAACCAAAGTTTTCAGCATTGCAATGTAATGAGCTGTCTCTAAATAACTAACAAACATTCCCCCGTCACAGAGGCGGCCAGCGAAGGAAGTCATAAATGCATTAACCGAAATGGTCGGATAGCCCTCCTTTGGTAGGAAATTGTATTTTGATTCTTTGAAGAAAGAATAAACCCTAAGCCAACTCTCAATCCCTTGTCCTCTGGCTTCTTGTGTTGTCGATACGTAATTGAACTATTTCTTGATTCACATTTCATAAATTTTTTTTCTTTTCGGTTTTGCCTTTCATTTTTCTTCAATCCCTCTTTTAGTCTTGTGGGACGTGGAGAGCGTTTTACAAGACGAAAAGGGAAGAATCTGATCATCATCTTCGAGTTCAATTGGTCATCAACGGTTTTGCATTAGGATTTAGGTATGCTGAATGTTACGTTGCTTCTTTCCTTAGATGATATAATGCCGGTTCTCTTGAGTTTTTCGAGCCTTGAAGGATTAACCTCCAATATTCAGGATGTTGCTATAATTTGTATGAACTGAATTCTAGACGACTGCTGATTTAGCCCCCCAAAAAAAAAAATCCAAAGGGATAAGAGAACGATGTGGATCATGATCAGGGTTTATGATTTTCATCATGTCTAATTCAGCCCGTGAAAATTGTATGCACGCTTGTTGTCCAAATTAATTGCAGCTATTAGAAAGTTAGGGATTTGGGATATGGCTGTTTTCACTCAAATAAAGCCGAGCTTCAATCGCGGTATTGACGGCTCTTTTAGGACAATGTTCCATATGATATGTTTCGGATGTTATCATAATATGAATTTTTGATAGAGTTGGAAGTTTAGTGCTATATTCTGCTATTGATCAACTTTTTCTTGGTTGTTTATTTTGTGCCAATTCCTTTTCTTCCTTTTCTTCTTTTAGAGAAGGCCGATACAAAATATATAATTCGGGATAAATTTTCTTTCCCCACCGAATTTCAGTGGTGGGAGATTCTTTGTTGTATGGCCAGGCTAGTCATAAAACTTTTAATGATTTACTTAAAACCATGCATTCATTGGATGATGATGATATTTCTGCACCGATAGAAGTTCTTGAATTTATAATTTGATTCTCCATTATAATTTTTCAACATAAGCGAGGCAATTATTCACAATCTCTAAACTGCATTTGTGCAGCATCTTGTCAGTACATTGCTTGAGGTTGTCCAAGTCAGTGCAGACTTGGTTTACCAGACAAACAATGGAAACCAAGCATGAAGGTGGAGTTCACAAGCATGTAGAGCTGAATACACAGCTCAAGCAGAATTCTGGTGAACAAACTACAGAAGCTACCTTTTCAGATGTAAAGAAGGTTCATCCTGTGGCTCAGCATGATGACACAAAAACAGCTACAGAAGACAGCATTTCAGGCTTAAAGCAACATCCTGAGCCAAAGCATGATGATTGTGGAAAAAACATAGAGGGCATTAGTTCACGTCTGTCTAATTCTTCATCTTCTTCATCAGCTTCTGATGATTCATTCAATAAAAGTGAGAAAGATGGACCTCAATCACCCAGATCAGGATGCATATCATCACCAGATGTTTCTACTCAGACCCCTCAATGGAGCATGGTAAGTGCATCTCCACGTGGTAGAAGCGGG